AACGTGGTCAGATGCAGAAACCACACTTTAGCACTCAAACCTGGCAGAATAGTGTTTGGCACAGATGGACTAGTTTCGCAAAATAATGCTTCATTTACAATCTTCTGGAGTCCAATGACGCCAGTTGACGACTCTTTTCCACCACCCTACTTTCCTCACTAAAGACGGAATATACTAATTGTAATCAAAAGTATGAATACCAAGATGATGTGGCCTTTTTGTGGTCGCAGTTTCCTTCCGTTGTATAGAAGTTGTTTGTCCTTGTTTTCGCAACTTGGTCATATGGTGAGACTCACTGACAATGCCGACTATGATGCCGGCGAAACGTGTGGTAATGTACCGCGTCCACGGTCCGACTTTGGAAATAATTATGCATACAATGGACTTAGGAGAAGGTGCGTTTCTATAAGTCTTCCTACCAACATGACCAAGTCGCGAAAACAAGGTCAAACAACTTCTACTAATTTTAATTTGGATATTTTGTCTGATAGATAGGGCCGTAGTCAAGGGCGTCAAACTGAGGAGATCCGAGGTTTCCAGGTAGTCTCAATAATTTGGATGGACCGATCGGTGCTACTTGGTTGTTGGGCTCTGGAAGGTTGGCAAGCAGGCTGTCTGGTTATCTGCTCTCTTCGAGTGGACGCTGTGATTATCAGATCTGGAAGGCCCATAAAACGAAAACTCTCGTCTCGACTATACCACAGTTCGGCCTCGTGCTCATCTCCATTCGACAAACGGAGGAATTCTCGCCTAGTTGGTCGGGTCGACTTTTGCCATAAATGTGAGTGTGATTTCAATTAACCTCTCTCAAATGGCGATGGGCATGTCTGCTCGAGACTATTCGACTGTAGGCATGAGAGACATATTTGGGTTGGGTTTGGTCGGAGGTAAAAAAAAGTTATGCTTGCACCACAGAACTTACTTTTCTCTGGGCAGACTTCAAAGTTGACGGTGTTGTCGACTCGCCGGCTGCGAAGGCTGAGCTGATACGACGGACTTCCGGAGCAGTGGGCTCGAGCTCGAATAATGAGAGAGAATGTGCAAATTCCTGTCGGCTGTCACTTTTCAAGGCTGCAGCAGACAAAAAGAAGAAAAAAATCGAGAGCCTATTACTTACTCACATGCACACATGAACGGAAGAAAACTGGGCAGCAATGCTTCAAGGCATTAGCAAACATGAAGAGCAATTTCAGAATGATGTAATTGGGAGGGACGAATAAAGCTCATCGGCCCAGAAAAAGCTACCCGAATGGCGTAAATAAAAGAGCCGAGTGCCTAGGCATGATATCGGGATTCGCGTTTATATCCGAGAGGAGTAAGCCGAGAGACCATACAAATTTTTGTTAATAACTAAAAATTGTATAGAGGTTGTTC